TGAGCCATCCTGCCACCTGTTGGCAGCTCAGCAGCTGCTCAGCTCAGGGCAGGACTCGAACCGCTGTTGCTCAGAGCTCAAACTCTTGAGCGAGCTCTTAACCAACTGAGTCACTCAGTCGGCCCCATGAGATTTTTTTTTTAACATCAGTAATCTATGGGAAATACTATGTACACACTAACAATATATAAAATAACATATTGCCTAAGTTTAATTGTATTATTGAGTAATTCTGTAACCTCTGGCCTTACATTTTTCATCTAAAAAGAGGAGCTGAAACAATTACTCTCCAAAGGTATATCTACTGCAAACATTCTAACATGGTTTTGCTATTTTGCTTTTTTGTACACTTAAGTGTGATGTAAGTTAAAGATTATGATGCTTAAATGAAATTTTCTGTCTAAGCCATTAATTATAATAAAAAAGGAATAAAACATTTTATCTTTGTAAATCTACTCGTGGAATATGGTTTGCAATATATTTACTTTTTAAAGCCTTCAACCCAAAAGGAAACAAAATGAAAATGCATTCCTTCTGAGAAATGCCCTCCTTGTATTTGGTTGCTTTCAGAATGCCTGCTTTGGGTGTGGCATACCACAGTAATGCTGCTGCTGGTGACAGCTATTGGTGGCCAGGTGCTTACCAGGTGCAAATAGAGGAGGCATAGCTCCCAGAGCAAACATCACAAAGATGGCTTAACTATCCTCTGTTTAGCCATTCTCTTTCAGGTTTTCACAAATCCTAAGATGTAATTCACCGGGTCAGTGGAGAGCCTTTTCTGAGAGTACTCACAGGTCCATTCATGCTGTTACCCCCACCTCTGGAAAGCATAATGTAAATATACTAATTTAGGAGGCAAAGAATCATCTAACACTGTTTTATTTTTTAAAAGTTGGCCTCTGTTTAATGACATCCATGCACACTTAACTCCATCTTACTGCCATTCATAAAGCCTTAAAAGAGATCTATCAAACAGTTCAAAACTTCCGTCTACAAACATGCATATTCTCCATTCTCTCCTCATTTTCTCTGTGGCAGTCTGAAAAAATCTTTAGAAGGAGAAACCACTAGTGTTTATTGCCCTACTTCAGTCTTTTGAGTTCCATTCCTGTCAGGACTTTAGGAAGTTCACTGTCAATGCTCTTCTTTGAACTCAGTCACTAAAATGATCTCAAGGCTAAGGGATAGACATCAGCTTCACATCAGAAGTCAGAGTGTGATGCCTGATTTAGGAAGGTTCTCTGTGCAGGCAGTTGTAGCTCTTTCCTTTTAGAGACAAATCCAGCTTTGTTCTTAGCGTCTAAAGTTATTAAAATCAAGATCTCTCAGAACTCTCTAGCATTCGGTAAACCCATGCAGGGACAAATTAGGAGAGACATATTAAATGCAGTTGACAGCAGCACCTATTTATTTCATTTAGTATTCAATAAGTATTTATTGTGCACCTACTATAGGCCTAGGCGGTCTGGTCGCTTGAAGATACAGAAGAAAACACTATTTCTGACTCATGGAGCTTGTCTAGAAAAATGGGGAACAAGGCTTGGAACAGAATAGCTTCATGAACCCCAGGAGTAGAAAGTTCACTGATTGAGAGAAAGTTTCACTAAAACCTCAGTCCTTGAATCTAATCTAGAACCTGTAACTAGGAAACCAAACAGTAGCCTTATTTTTTACCTTGTCTTTTGAATTTTTTCACAAGAAAAAAAAAACAAAAAAACTTACTTTCAAGCCTAAAAATAGATGGGAAACATTCTTTTCAGCTTTAATGAGATATAATTGACATATACAATTGTGTATAGATGGTTGTAGAGAACAGTAAATAAATCCTGGTTTTGCAAATACTGTAAGTGCCATCATTGAGCCACAGAACATTTCTCTTATATCACTCTTTTACAATTATAAGAATGAACAGAGTTGATAATTCCCCATGACTGAGTTTCCTATTCACTGTCTCCTCAATTATACTTCCTTTAAACTGTGTCATCACAAAGTATCTAGATTTTATAATCCAAGACTCTAAGGTGTTTATTTTACAAGCATACATCAGCTCCACACTTAGTGTCTTATATGTTCTGCCAAGAATTCAAATATTGTGTTTGAAAAGAAGAGGAAATTCCATGGTTTCTTGAACACAGAAAATCTTCAGTACATCTCAGATATAGAATTGTAAATATATACATATTTAC